TGTCTCAGGTTATTATATGCAACAGCACATACACAAAGCACATCTTCATTAGATCCCAAACTGCGCACCAAAGCTGCATTTAGGATCACATTAAAAATGCAGCGACTTCAGAAACAGAAGATACATTGCCACAGTAGGAAATAAAATACAGACAATGCTGAGAGAAGGAGAAAAAGAAGTCAGTAGGGTTAAATTAAAAGTTCAGTCCAAATGCTTAGCAGTGTGAATGCAGTTGTCTGTCAGACAAAGAGTATAGTTTCCAATACTGTCAGTCATTTACCATAGAAAACTACAAAGTTGCTTTTTGAACTGGTCAGAGCCCAGGAGACTTCACATGAAATGAAAAGCGGAATGAAGAAATGCCAAGGAGGCAGTGAACTGTTTAAAGATCTTTCTGTTTAAAAAAAAAAAAAAAAAAAAAAGAGAGAGAGCAAGAGACAGATTGAGAGATTTTTTTTTTCTAGTTTAAAAGGCCAGAAAAGAAACATAATTTAAAATAATTTCATATATGCAAACATTCCAATTGCTTTTGAGCAGAAGGTAATCTCCTAAGTACTGTCAAATAGAGCTCACCAGTGAAAACACTTTCCCAAGTTTTATTGCAATGCCTTAAATTTTATGGAGGCAGTTAAAAGGGATGTGAAGCAAAGAAGGTATTCTCTTAGCCTTTTATGACAGGCATCGCAAATTGTTTTATTCTAAGGAAATAGCTGTACCTATTTCCTACTGTATACAATAATGATGCCTAGGAAATAGTTACTTCAGTGAAATCAATTGTAAACCAGGATTCTTTTTATTTTATGTCTGAATTGGTCTCCAAAGACATTGCCAGCATTAAATCCCTGACATTTCTTGGTCATGTAGAAAATTGGTGATGGGTAGGCATAGCATGCCTCTAGAATTACTACAAAACACCTAGTAGGACTGAGGAAAAAAATGAATTGTAGGAAAAAAAAAAAGCTATTTAATCCAGAAACATATTCAGAGAAATATCTTGGGTTTTGGAGGAATGATTTAAGATTTAGCCTTTCCTTTATATTTAGCTAGTCATTAGAGAGAAAAATATTTCTGGAATATCTTTACAGAACATAAAATCAAAGCAGAGGTGAATAGCAAATCCAAACAAAAGCAGAAAGCGTTTACTATTCAGATCTGTATCTCTGTGAGGAAGAGACATTCATTATTCCAGGGTGTGTGTGCCAGATGAATGTTAATCTTTGCCTTGTTAAGATACCTGGCCAAGTTTTCTTACAGGTGCCCCAAATAATACAAACCTAATCTGCAGACACAGCACTGTACACAGGCATTCAGGCAAGGATTTCCAGAAGGTCAAACAAAGAAGATGCCAACTTCTGCTGAACCTCAGCAAGAAGCAGATGCCTAACTCGTCTAGGTGCCTTGGCAGATCCAGTCTGGGGACACAGACAACCCTGAATGCTGATATTTCAGTTGTATATGACAACAAAACATTTGAAAGGACATGTTTGAAAAGGTGACTCTGCAGTTCAGCATTAGCTTTTCAAAGTTTTGCCATTATTTCTTCTACAATGATTCAACAGCTGTCTATATTCTCATTAGCTGTAACAAAATGCATCAGTCTTCATGAGGCTATTTTTTTTTAGAAAGTGAAATTTGTATCTAGATTGAGCTTTTCACCTCAAAACCAGAGTAAATTCCTCAATTGTGGCAGTGGTATTGATTCCAGGACAGAAGAATGGAAAGAACAGCAGTACCATGCTAGGTTTCTGCCATACCATCAACTCTACCACTGGCCAGTACCACTCTGCCTAGAGCAGAGTGGAAGAAAAAAAATTTACCCACAATACTGCCCCAAATTTCTGTAGTTTACTGAGGCAGAGGTAAGAGCTTTCTGTTAAACAGTCCTCCTTGGATTTTCTTCTATGAACCTGGCAAATGCTGCATAAAACCATTATAATTTTCAGCATATTGCAATGATAACTTTCTTGACTGAACTACACATGACACACAGAAGTGTCTCTTTTTGTTGTGAAACTAGCATCTAACTTCAGTTGAGGTCTCCTATGCTTTACACTGGAAAGGACAACGAACAGTTTCTCTACTCACCTTCTTTATGTCAGGCTTTATGGTCTTCTAGTGTGTTGTCCCTCAGTCAACTTTTCTCCAGGCTAAACAGTGTTAGCATACTTAACTTCTTCATATTATGGAAATTTTTCAATACCCATTATTATCTTTGCTATTCATCTCTCTAACTTTTAAAGTTCTTTTACATTTTATTTGAGATGGAGGAACCAGAACTGTTTAAAGCATTCAAGATCCAAGTCTAATGTGGATTTATACAGGGGTATAATAATGTTTCCTCAAAATTGTAAAGACAGCTTGCTTTCATCATATAAAAATACAGAGATAAAGCATCAGGACTTAGAAATCAGTATCTGTAAGTGGATTTAGAAAATATTTTAAAATATCCTTCCTGTCCTGAGGGCAATCTTATTTTCATATATATCCAAGAGAACCTACAAATCACTACTATCCAATAACTAGCAGAGATTGACCTGCATTATACTTCCTGTTTTATTCATAAGGCAGAACCAAAGTCCTTCAGCTAACACCCATATGGTAGTTGCTACTAATTCTGTCAAATTATTAAGTGATGAGATAACACAATGATCAGCACATTAGAAGAACCCAGATAAAATCAGGCAGAAGACTGTAATAACTTAACTTAGTCTTTACCTGTCCGGTGCTGAGGTCAAACATGGGACTGGCATGAACAACTGCTTCTCCTTTCAGGGAAACAGAGTTAATCAAGTTGATCCAAGTTTACAAGGTCCACCAATAAACTTCCCTTGCAGTGAAGCCCTGTACCAGACAGGTGGCAAAAAACATGTTAAGTTCTCAATTTGGTTCGTTCAGATTTTTGCACAACAGAAACAAATGTTATATGACTGTGATAGCCTGTGCTCTGTAGCAGATCCTGGCTAGCAGCAGAGCAGATAATGCTCCATGCTGAGGTGGCTTGGCTGTGAAATCCCCCATAACAACCCAGTGGAAGCTGTTATAGCTCCTCTATCAAGTCTGGTGGCAGAAAACTACATCTTCCTCTTTGAATGTTGTAGAAGTGTTATCAGGTTGAATGGAATATTCCACTTCATAAACAAAAGATGCGTAAGTAAGGTGATACACTGAGGCAGAGTGCACCTTCTCTTCCCTGGATCCCTTCCTCACAGCAATGTGTCTGCTGAATTGTGTACTGGCAGATCTCTTTAGACTGAAATGATGACAAGACAAAGTTGCTCCCTCCTCTTTAACATCATCCTTTAGTTGTCAAGCCTTCAACAAACCACAGCAGGAATAACCAAGGGACTTAAAGCCTTATTGCTGGAGGGAAAAGACAAGAGTTGCACTAACATACACATACAGATGGTGTTCACACATTTATAACACATCCAAACTTAGGTTGTCAACTGGTCTGCAGGAAGTAACACCAGACCATGACGTGCCAGGTTGCAAGGTCAACCAACAGATACCCTGAGAACTACTCCTCAACGCTGCAGAAAATCAAAGGGAAAATTAACTAACATTTTTCAGCACCTATGAACTGTTCAAAATTGTTTTATGTAGGAACATACATCATTCCTTCTTGTAAAGAATATCTATGGTGCCAATTTCTTACCAACACTATACAAACTGAGACAAGAAGCAAGTACCTGGAACTAGATATATATTACTTGGCTGAGCAGCCTAAATGAAATAAAACTGAACTGACTCCCAAGAGTATTCTAGTTATTGTATATACCACCTTTAACCATTTCTCAGTCTTTCTTGCAAGAATTTAATATAAATTCAAAGCTTTATGGATCTTAAAAAAAAAAAAAAAAAAAGGTTAAGATTAAGATTAGCAGTAGGAGAATGTTTTCTAGAGAAAGGAATGTCAGGATATATTGCAGGATGTTCTCACTCAAATGTCTCACAAATAAGGACTTATTTTTGGACAAAGCACTGCACTGGCACTGAGGATACTTGCATTCAGTTGGCAGCACTGCCATCAGCTTCCTGCACGACCTAAGGCTGCTCAGTAAATTAGTCTTTTATTCAATTCTTGTCAGTGAGGACAATAATAGTTAATTTCTCCCAGTAGTGATTATTTAGACAGGAAACCAGTTGAGGCAAAGACTCTTTCTACCTTCGTGTATATAAAACACCTGTTGCAAAAGAACTCTGATCATTTGTGCTGATGTAATAGGAGTAATTATATATATTATTTCCTTCAGGTGTTCCCATGTTCTTTGAAAGTGAACTCCAGGATCTACAGGACTGCTCTGTAGTTGCCACTCGAGGCAGCATAAAACTGTATAAAAAAGGATGCCCTGAGGTAATATGAGTATGAAGATACTTACATGTTCAAGTTGTATATGACTGTAACAGGTCTTGGCAAGACATTCCAGTTAATTTAAGCACAGAATTAGCCCTGATTAACAGTCAACTTGTGTTAGCAAGTACCACCTATTTAATTTATTCTCTGAATTACCTATAATAAGAACTGTTGTGGCTAAGACAAGATGTAGTAACATCAGAGAAAGGCTTTCTTAAAATGGTGATTATTGTATGAAGGCATGATATACAAAGGTTTCACACTTACATGGGACTTCTCCCCTCTGTTTTTTATATAATTGTTATGCATTAAAAACAGACATCAAGTCCTAAAAATTTACCATCTGGTTAAAGTGTAGGCTTTGCCCTATAGTATTTGCCCTTTTCTAAAGTATAGTCAACCAATGCTCTTTTTTGGACCTAAACAAAATTTAAGAAAATGTTATTCTGAATTGTAATAATTACAAAATAAACTCTTGTCAATCAGCACAACAGAGCAGTGAAAAGTGTTCAAGAAACTGACCTATTGCAGTCTCCAGTATGTAGAAAATGAAATAAATAAATGAGATGAAGTATCTTAGATAAAAGATTAGGGGTGGAGGAATCGATTCTTAAAATATATCAGTATGATTTTAAGTATGACTTACCTGTCTCTCCCCCAGCTCCCCTCTGTGGAAGGCCAATTCTTTTCAAATCTCTGAAAAGTCAGATGGTCAAGCAATATAAAATCCTGTCGTCTATATTTAGAGTACTCAGAAAAATGCCTGTATAGACATTCTCTTGTCATCAGCACAAACATGTAGGACTCTGGAATGTGTCTCTCTGCAATGTCAGTAAAACTAAAAGAGAAAACAGAAAGGTGATGTAAGAAGAAAAATAAAAGATGGGAAATTATTTTTAAAACTGTATACGATATGGCATGATTTAATAATGTAAACAATTTGCAAGAGTTTCATGAGCATTTGTTCTTTGATTCCTACAGAAGAATCACAGTATTTGGGCTAGGACAGAGAACTGAAATTAAAATGCGCCTGACAGAATGACAGGAAAATCATGTTTGTCAAGTATAGGATATATTATTGACAACTGACCTTTATATATTTAATAATCTAGTTCTGCTGATGCATTTCAGAAACCTAGTATAAACTGTGCTTGTAGAAAATCTTTTTCTTGTGAATTATCACTAGATGATACCAAAATCTAGATCCTGAGAGTTTTGTCCCATTGCTTCAGCTGCTTTTCAACTTCTGTGATTGACTTTCATCAGAATTTATATAAGCTACAAATTGTATCTAAAAAGCGTGAGATCACACCATAATTTCTGAAACTATTCCTTAAATAACCCTTCACTAGGATATTCTATGTGATGTGAGTTGATGATACTATTTTAGATTGTAAGTTGTGAAGTGAACTTTAGTGTTCAAGTGCTGCTTCTATATCCTATAAAGGGCAATGTTTGGAATACGAACAAAATTATGGTCTGTCACTCCAAACCGACATTGTGCTATCAAGTAATATCTGGCAAGATGAAGCAGTTGGATGGGGATCTAAATGCTTTTGATATTCATCCAAAGTGAAGAAAATCATATCTGCTCTGACTGGTTGAAAATTGTTTTGAGCAATTTATCAGACTATCGATGCCAAAGTTAGTGTTATGAAGTACAGACTGAGACAGTAATTTTGGTCTGGAAGACAAACTTTAATTCCAGTATTAAGAAAACATAATATTAACACACATTGTTGTAATTCAGACAGCTGTCAAATTAGTTGTGCCACAAAATGAGCTTTGAGAGACATTAAAGTGCCAAGATACTTTGTTAATTACTTCAATAGTAGATGAGGCACCAAGTATGCCTAGCAATGAAAGCATCCATTATGGAAAGCTGTAACTTGGTGTAAACTAATGCTGTTTGTTTCATCTGAATGGCCCTCTCACTGGAAATAGCTGACATACACAAGCAAAATTTGCCATCAGAAAAGTTGCTTCAGCTGTTACTTATCCAGCTGATCACAGACCTTTTTTTGGATATAGAACTATGGTATTTTACATATTTATATGAGAAAGTATTGCAATACTCTCTGGGCAAACAAGGTGCCACTACAAATGGTGACCTGATAATCAACAGGACAAAAGAATTGCCTGATCCCAGAGGTTTAACAATATTAACCCTAAAAGGTACCAGTTTTTACACTTTCCCCTAGATACCTATATATAAACAGAATTAGGTTTAAGTAGGAATATGCAATGTTACATGTTTGGTAGGAGAAATGAACTGGGGCTCATGTGATCATCACAATCATACGTTATTTCACATCTCCCACAGAGTTATGTTTCCTGCCATCTCCTTCCTCCAGGTACTGAGCTTTTCCTGTTCCCGGAGCTGTTAAAGCAAGTTCTCTGCTTTGCTCACCATCCCTTCCCAGCTCCTCAAACAGTTCCATTCCACAACTGGTTGAGACCCCATCAATTCACTTTCAGCTTGTTTTAGGTCACTTTGCCTGCCTGTACCATGGTTTTCACTACCCCACCCTTTAAAATGTCTTTCTATTTAATGCCCTTCTGTGTAGCTTCAGGATTTTTTTCACCTTTGTCATTCTCTGTGAACCCATAACCTCTGGGCTTTTTCCTAATGGTTCTCTGTACTCCTCCCCATGCCTAGAATGTTATATCCCTCTCATAATCCCATTGGAAATATACCTTCTACAGCTATCATCTACCCATCTAATCTGCTCTTATCTCTCTTCACTACTTAGAGGAGCATTCATACATACAAGAAAATTAAAATAATATCTCGAAATTAACAGAATGTGTTCAGTCTCCTGCACCACTTATTCTGTTTATAGTACATCCCTTTGTTCCCACCCACTAAAGTTGGTTTTTATTGCCTCTTTCTGTTCTTCCACACAAAGACGTAAAAATCAAACAGAATTCCTCTGTCACCACTGGTAGCTCACTTTTCACCTACTAATTCATGTTGTTAGACTACAAACTCATTGAAGCAAGGATTGTTCTTTTTAAATACCTTTTAAAGGTCTTCTGCGCTCATTTCCTCTCTCTCATGCCCTGATTCTTTACCCTGTCTAAAATCATGCAGCCCTCTTTTACCTGTAGCCACAGCCCTTGATTTCTGCCACCATGTCCCTGCTCCTTCTCAGAAGCACTGAAAGCATCGTGCTTGTTTAGTACACAAACAAAAGTTGGAAGAGGATGTCTAGAATCAGGGTCAGAAGAAAAGATTTTTAAACTAAAAGACCAAAAGGAAGGGGTAAGCATTTCATATGAAATTGAGGGCTCATTTCAAAGCTCTGTAGGCCTCAGCTAGAACCCTGTAAGAGTTTTTAATTTACTGCTATGCCCCAAAAGAGACAGGAACCTAAAAAGCTGGGAAAGAAATCCCTCCATTTTAGGGGAAATTGAAGAAGTCAAAGTTGCTTGCTTATAAGCATTATCTACCCTGTACAATGGAGGCCAAGCATTACAACATAAAACAGCTGCTGTATTTGAATTATATAAAACAAATTATCATCACGCACCAGTAAGCTATTTCTGACCCAAAGATTTAAAAATTATGTACAGAGTCACACACACACCCCTGGCTAAAGCCAGTCAAATCTGTAAGATTAGATTGGTCCACTGGAATCAGTTATACAATTCAAGGCTGGTTTGTATGAAATTCTGGCCAACATAAATATGCAAATTTACATCAGAGTTGAAGGCTGGGTTTAATTCTATCACTAATGAACAATGAGATCATGTGAAATAGGTTAAAAATCATCTTGCACTCAATGAGGCGTTCTCATTTTCATGTTTTTCCTGTCACATTTTCACAGGAAACTTCTCACAAATTAATAGCTATAGATATAATGATAAAACCAAAGGAAAAAAAAAATAGAACACAGTCAGTACACAGAGAAACGTACTGCACTCAGTGTCTCCTATTTTTGAGTTATACTTTTAAGTTTGACATCTTACAATGACCATCAGTGAGTTCTTTTATCTCATGAATGGAGTGAGAATCAGTTCCTCCATGTTTGAATCAATTTCTTAGAAATTATTCTGGAGCATAAATTACAACATACTTTTTCTTCAGATTAGCCTGAAATGTCTTTTAATTTTTATTAAGATGAAACAGTACTAAATAAACTTTATGCATCCTGGAAGTCAACTAAGTTCTATCAAGCCTGATGATCATATGAGATCTATAGCATTTACTTGTTCTAATCTTAATTTCTAGCCTATAAAATATTGTCTTCATGAATTCTTATTGATTGCTAACAATGCTTTTTTTTAAATGAGTTTATTTTCAGCATGCCTTTAACGGCAGTGCTCACGTGCACTGCAAGGACACTGAACACACTGAAATCCCCAGTTGCTTTTTCTCTTTCCAGGCCAGTCCTGTTGTGATGTTCTCCAGAAAAGCTGAAGAGTGGTTTAAAAGAGAGAACACTTTTCTCTATTGTTCAGGCTTTGATTTTTTTTATGCTCAGTAGAATCAGTGATATGCCTTGTTTCACGTATGTTTTGAAGAGTTGAGCATCAGAGTTCAGAGTCCAAGCACAGAAGATTAACACAGACTATTTCTATTGAGCTCTTTCTGCAGGTACCAGGCACAGAATCAGAGCAGGATGTTTTGTTCTCAACAGTTTTCAGAGCCTGTTTATTTTGAAATACCTTTATAGACATTTGTCTATATCTAATGCTTCCAGGTGTTTTACTAACCTCACATTTCATGGGGGACTATCTTTTCTCTTTTTCCCAAAAATATTATTTTTATTTATATAGATACATATTTATTTAATGTGTGTATAAGTACTTACTGCAGGAGGACAACAGGGTCTTGCATGAGAATTTAGTAGAAGTTGATCTTCAGTCTTATACCCCAGTTCTTTAATTGTCCTATGTGCTACGCATCAGTACACAAAGGGCTGCTAAGGGACAACAGATGGACCATTGACAGATCTAGAGGATCCAGTAATGCACATACTCTTCTGTTCTTTTTGTAGAGGGTGCAGAAATGAATTGAACTTATTGAATTGGAGAAGATCTATAGAGCATCACCTCAAGCCAGAGCAGGGAATTTATTTTTTCCTCTTCTGCCCACTATTTGACCTGACACTCAACACTGGGCTTGACCCAAAACTTTAAAATAGACAACTGCTGTTATCACCAAAGCATACTCAGATCACTAGGTTCAGAGTAGATTATAGGCTAGCAACCAGAGATCAAAAGAAAGAAACCAATAAAGTAACTTATTACTCTGCACTACTTTCCAATTTAAATCCACAGCCCAGTACATTAATTTATCAGAGCATGCATGGTTGTGACAGATGAGGCAAAATTCCATCAACTATAGTCTTTGTAGACAGACTCATAGCTAGGAATTCTTACAAAAATCATGTCTGAGAAGCAGCAGAAAAACCAAGTAATAGGGATTGGTTTTCTTTGTCATAAGAGAGATGCTGAAGAAAAGGGTCACAGGAGAAACACAAGATTATAGACCCTGTACTTTACATAAGAAAGTTCCATTCTTCCCCTACAGTAAGGATGCCAATCAAAGCTCATTCAACAGTGACATACGGTAAGTCAACTGTATGACTTTATTTCTTATGTAAATAGAGGTAGTGTAGGTAAGAAAGATACATGTACCCCAGGGTATCTCCTCTGATCAAAATCACCAGAGGGCTATGCAGATGTATTAGCAAGATAAGACATGAGAGGAATCACAATTAGTAAAACCTCCCTTCCACCTCCCACACCTGCAAGGATCCAGAGAAGGCATAAATTTGTAGGAGTGAAACAGAAGAACCCTAGTGTCATTGTCAACTGTCCCTTGGCCCC